TGAATCCCCTGTGAGTTTCCAAATTACATTCCTGAATGCACATTAAACTCCTACCGGGCGCACGCCGTGAATCTTCAAAATTGAATGCATCGTGAATTCACCGTGAGTTCACAGATAACATTTGTAATGCACATTTAATTCACATAGGGCGCACGCCGTGAATCTTCAAAAATTAGTTAATCGTGAATCCACTGTGAGTTTCCAAATTACATTCGTAATGCACATTAAATCCACACCGGGCGCACGCCATGAATCTTTAAAATTAAGTGCATCGTGAATTCACCGTAAGTTCACAGATAAGGGGTCATCCATTAATTACGTGAGGCAATTTTGGCGATCTGTGATTGATTCCATTAGATTTATTAAAAAAAAACAATTGTTATAATTGTTTACTTAATTTAACCCAGTTTTCTCGCCATTTTACACTGTTTCATTTTTTTCAAAAAATACGTGATATTTTCCGAGACCACCCTCCCCCCACGTGAGATTGGGTGGGGTTTGGCTCGACCCCCTCCCCCTAAACACCTCACGTAATTAATGGATGCCCCCTAACATTTCTTATGCACATTTAATTCACACCGGACGCACGCCGTGAATACAGATCTGTTAGCACGTTTAATTAAAGATCTTCAAAGTTATTTTGATAGGTTAGCTATACCTCTGTTTGATAGGGAAGGTATACCTACCCTAACAAAATAAATTTGAAGACCGAATTCGAAATAAGAAAAAGAAAACATAACATTAAAGGAATATTAATTAAAGATTTTTATTAAATATTAAACGGAAAATAAAAAAGTACATTTTTTAATTAATATCAGTTATTAATATTTAATATACCTATAGGTAATAATAATTATATAATTATTATTACCTATAGGTATATTAAATATTAATAACTGATATTAATTAAAAAATTTACTTTTTTTTTTGTATATAATAATTGCAAAACCAAATACGCGGGCACTCGTGCGCATGCGCCTATGGCCGTCACATTTCAACTAAATGCAGGGTTGCCGCTTGCAGGTATTTGACCCGAAAATCGCGTATTTCATCATGCTTGCAAGTAAAATATTGAAGCAGGTATTTTATAAATTTTACTTTTCAAAGAAATTTTCAGTAAATAATATTGTATAACTACTAACTAAACATAATTCTTTAATTCTATCCTTTTATTTTTCTCTTAATTTATTCAAAATTTAATTCACTTTTCCAAATTGAGCAAATGTACTAGAAATTTTTACTCGTGTGGGTAATTTCTAGTATTTTGTAATTTTTGGTCGGGAACTTTCACGAAAATCATCCGGCTGCAATCCGGCAACACTGCAGCGTTAGTGTGCGTACGCAGCTAAGAGCCACGAGGTTTTCTATAGAATACCATATATGGTAAACATCTAGCTAGATATCCTGTATACCGGTAAAACGTTCAGTTTATATCCTTTTTCTATGGTTCAGAGATAAACGTTCAGTTTGAAGGTGTATGTATCTTGGTTCAGTTTTTCAGTTTTATAATATATAGGTATTCAGTTCAATAAATACTTAAGTTGCTAGCCAGGAATTCCAAAGGTAAGTTTGACATTTTTATATTTTAGCATGATCAAATTTAAGATACGAATTTTATTGTATATATACTATAGTAGATCAGTGCACTGATAATAATTGTTACAATTATTGCAAAAACAACAAAAACAATGAATAACCATGGTTATAACCATGGTTATATATAACGCTTTATTGTGGTTATATTTTTTTATAAAGTTTTTATTCATTGTTTTTGTTTTTGAGTCAGATCACGTCAAGTGGACCCCATTTTCCACTTGGTAATAGAATTTAAATTTTAATACCTACATCAATCATTAGTAGTCAATGACTACTAATGACTACTAGTCATTAGTAACAATATTTCCTTAAAATATATATTTTTTTATTTTAATTTTAACAGTTTTTTTGTAACAAAGATTTTTCTCACTTTTAATTAAAAAATTAATTGTGAAAAAACTGTTAAAAGTTTCGTAGTGAAATTTTTAGGACTTTTTTTTTAAATTTTTTTATACTTTTTTTGATCATTGAAATATACAATTCAAATTTTTGATAAAGTCTCTATCAAATAATCAAGTTTTTTTCATGGTTACATGTACTGGATATAAGGGTTTCATATCCTGAAAAAAAAATTTCACTGCCCGGCATTTCTTTAAACATTATTAATTTTATACTGCAAGGCTCCGCGCCTCATGAGTCGAAGCCGTGCTCGGCTGAATTGGTTTGAATGATTTGTTTTTATTTGAATTCAAAATATGACATCCATTTTAATATTTTTATTAGTAAATATACAGTCGACAAATATTTTACAATTTTTTAATCAATAAAATAAATGAATTAATTAATTAATACAAAATATTTTTATTAGCTATCGCAAGACTTTTCTTTATACACAAAAACAAATATTTTTTTTGTTCTAAGAGTTTTTTAAATAATATTTATTAAATTTTATAAAACGAGTCTTGTAAATAAATGGTTTAATCCATTAATAATGCTATAATTTATATATTTTTTAAGGACCAAAAAGAAATTAAAATAAGGGGAAAAAATGATGAGTTATTTGACTCATTTGATGATGTGTCCAGTGATGAATCAGTAAGTATACTTATCTGTAGATGTAATTTCATATATGTGATACATAATATATATTATAATAAAATATTATACAGTATTATACTCATGTGTATGCATTAATTAGTATTATTTATGTTATAATTCATATTTTTTTTAAGGTTAAAGAGGACATTGAGGTTGATTCGGAATAAACTTTACAATATAACACTTTGTGTTTTATTTCAGTATACTATTGTACCTCAAGTTTAATTATACAAAGTTTATACAAAAGTGCTCTTTTAGTTCCACCCTTACTTCTTAAGAATTCCCATAAGCCAACTAAATGGCTTGTGCCGGTTAGGGGTAGGAACGGACCGCGGGTTTAAAGTCCCCTTCGAAGGACTAATACACAATAGGACAAACACAAATAAACAGCCATACCCCTGGTGGGATTCGAACCCACGACCTCCGGCATGTAGTCAGCAGCACTAACCACTAGACCACCGTCGGCGTGGATGGCATAATTGTCTAAAAAAATATTCTCCAATTGGACATAAATCACATCTTTATTTAACATTTTTCATTTGACTTTATTTACAAATTTAACAAAATCTGTTATTTTAAAAAATAACACGTTTTATTTTGTGTTCCAATTTAAAATTAAGTGCAAAAAAAATACGCACGAAATTCACCGTAAATACGCACGCGAAGATGCGCCCTCCCCTTGAATTCACCGTAAATGCACAAGTGAAGCTCGAAGTGAGTGCGCATGCATGCTAAAATTCGCGCGAAAAAATTGAAATTATGGTGAATGCACATTTTTTGTTCAGAAAACTTATTTTACTATATAGGGGAAAATATGTTTTCTGAACATGCACCCTTATTTAATTTTTTTCGCGCGAATTTAGAACACGCATGCATTTACGGTGAATTTAAGGGACGGACGCATCTTCACGTGTGCATTCACGGTGAATTCATGTGTGCATTTAAGGGGCGGACGCATCTTCACGTGTGCATTCACGGTGAATTCAATGGGCGGATATATCTTCACGTGTGCATTCACGGTGAATTCCAGGGGCGGACGCATCTTTTAGCAACCGTGAATTCACTCGTGAAGCAATATTTTTCACCGTGCATTCACGGTGAACTCACGATTGTTATCTGGGGTCGGTGGTTAATTTGAATTTTTGTCGAGATAAGAACATGATCAGAAATTCCTACTGGGGGAAGATATGATATATCTGATAATAGTTGTGTGTCGTTTGTTTTAAGAAAATCTAAGATTGAAAAAGTTTGATTTACACGATGCCGTGTGGGTTCAGGATTATATAACGAGAAATTGGGATGATTAAAGTCTCCAGTTATAATAATATTTGATTTAGAAGAACACAAATCTGAAATTAATGATGTAAGTTGGTTATCAGTGGCTATGCTTGTATTTGGAGGTCTACTCTCTAAAAATGAAATAGTCAAAATTCTACTATTTGAATTAGTACCAGCATTTTTTACTAATAAAATAGTCGTTTTCACTTTTAAATAGTTATTTTTTACTACGTAAATAGTTAAAGTTTGACTAATTTAAGATTAGTCACCATATTTGACTATTATTATTATTTATTTATTATTTGACAGTTAAAAGTAACTAATTTCTTTAATCGTTTACGGCCAACAACAAAGTATTATTTGAATTAAATGCATATACCTCTCCATGGTTAAATGACCCATAAAACAAATAAAGATGCAAAAAGTTTAGCTCAAAACAGTAACACAAATAATATATTAAACTTTAAAATTTTATGAACAATATTTATTGACAAATAAAATTAATTTTTATAAGAGCGGCTGACAGCCGACTGGTTATGAGGTTAGGTTGACAAGCTTCTCAAGTGACAGACGTGAGTTCAATACCAGGCTGGGTCAAAATTTTTTTTAAATTTAAATTTACTAATTTAACTATTTCATTCAGTGGAATTTGACTAATTATTAGTGACTGCTTTTTCGCTATGACAATTAGTCAAATATGACTTATAATTATTTATTTTTGACTAATTCATTTTAAGAGAGTATAGAGACAAAAAAGGGAAATATGTAATTGTTGAAAATTAATTTGCAAAGATAAGATTTCGATATTTGGACAGGATATGTTGCATTGTTTTATTTGGAAATCTTTAAAGGCTTCTTTGTGTAAATATATGCATACTCCACCTCCCCTAGTGAGTCGATCACTTCTGTAAATTAGGTAATTGTTGAGGTTAAATAGATGACTTGGTGTATCAGTTTGAAGCCATGTTTCAGTTAAACAACAGATAGCAGGGTTTAAATTATTTATTACTGCACAAAATTCATCAAATTTAGCCGGTAGTGACGCAATGTTTGTATACAAAATAGCCAATTGTATAGTTTAAAAGTATTTATTCGTTTGGAACTCCTTTTATATATTTAATTTTCAAGTTTGGTTCACCACTGTCCGTGCGTTGTTTCAATTCATCACTTAGTTTTTTTAGATATTCCATTTTCTTTGGTGTTTTATCGTTTGTTATATTAATGTGTTTGTAAACAGAATTTGCTAGTTTGCTAGCAAACTAAAGCTAAAAGCTTTTATTTCTTAAGACATAACTATTTGAAAGTATTACTTTTAGGGGTCTTTTTTTCCCTGATGTCGGTTTTCCAATGCGAATTATGTCTAGAAAATTAGTATTCAAATCCGCAGAAATAACCGAAAGTATATTCTTAGCTGAATCTAAATCCGACTTCTTTCGATCCTCCGTACTGCTAGTAGACTCCGGTAGTCCGTGAATGATTACATTGTTGGAGCGTTTAATTCGGTCCATAGTTTCATGAACAATATCTTCAAAGTTATTATTAGAAAAATTGACTGATATTTTGTTCTCCAGTTCGGATATTTTCTTTGTTAGTTCGCTGATAGTTGTGCAGTTAATTGGTTCATATTTCCACTGCAAATGTTGCATACAATTTAAATAAAGCGATAATAGTTCGATTTTAATTCGTCACGCGAGAGACCGGTACATGTTATATGCAGCGGACGGCGACACATATCGCAGTCGATGGTTGGGTCCTCCGCTCGAAGCGCTAGATTGCAATTCACACACGGGTTCATGTTTTTATGCTATTTTGTAGGCGGAGCTATAGTTAGGTGTTAGGGGTTAGTATACTAACCCTGCTGATAACAACCTAGAAAATACCTTATTCAAGACTTGGATGTGAGACTCAAAATCGGCTGTGGCGATAATTATATCATCTAAATAAACAAACATAAATGGTTCTAAATCATGTCCCAACACAGTATCTACAAATCGCTGCCATTAGCTGGGGCATTATAAAGCCCAAAAGGCATTCTACAAAATTAAAAAATTCCTCGTCCTGTAACTGTAAAGGCAGTTTTTTCTTACTAGATTCCTCCAAACAAATCTGCCAATAGGCACTTTTTAGATCTATTGAGAATAAAACCTTAGCATTACGTAATCGATCTAAAATCATTGGTATATAGGGAATCTGATAAGCGTCTCGTTTAGTAACCATATTTAGAGCTCTAAAATCTATACAAAAACGATATTCTCCACTAGGCTTCTTAATCAGCACAACAGGGGAGGACCAGGCTGAAGAATAGGGTTCAACAACTCCCGAATCCAACATTTTATCCAATTCCTCGTTCATGATTTTTTGCATGTACGGTGAAATTGAATAATACCTCTGTTTTATAGGTTCATGGTCCTGAGTATCTATTTTATGAAATACACAACCCAGTTTACCACCCATAGCTGAAAAATATTTATCCACTAAATTATTTAACCTACGTCGCTCAGCCTTACCCAGTGTTTGATTATCTATCAAACAACAGTCTTGACTTTTATCGGAATATGACTAATTATAATGCTTAAAATTCACTACAAGCTCCATTTCTTTCCAAAAATCTACTCCCAAAATAAAAGATTTATCGATACTAGGAACAATTATAGCAGAAATAATTTTTACTTTTCCTCCCAAACAAATAGGAAAATCGATCATACCAATTATCTGGTCCTTTGAACTCTTAAGCCTAAGAATTGAAATTTTGTTTAATATTATTTATGCTAACTGGTTCAATAAATGTATTATTATTATTATTATTATTATTATTATTATTATTATTATTATTATTATGTTACACTTGGAACCATTTGCAGTGGTTACAATCTTAGATGAGGTCGAGCGAAGACTTTAAGATTTTCCAACCCTTTCCACCAACTATGGTCTGTGAGGCACCACTATCTAACAAACAAACATAACTTTTTCCCCATATTTTAACGCCAACATAAGGTCTTGGATTCCCAAATGTGGAAATAAACTTACTCTCTAAATTTGTCCTTTTACACTCTCTACCTTTAAATCAAGCCATACTTTCCATGACTGATTGCCCGGGACTGACTTCTCTATTGACGTGGCCCGGTAGGTCCGTCGCCAGATCCGTTTTTCACTTAGAACACTCCCTTCTTAAATAACCATTCGCTCCACATCCAAAACAAAATTTATGAGACCTAATTTCCTTACATTCTCTAAAAACATGGCCGGATTTTTGGCAATTCCAGCATTTTATCTCAGTCAATGCAGCCACCTTTGGAGTAAACTTTAACTTTTCAGCTTTTCCCCGCATTTGCCAACTCCGGTTCTATCAATTTATCCTTAGTTAAAGACCGATTTTGATCTGCAATTAACTTAATAATCTCCAAACGTTTACATGAAGTAACTCTTCCACACTATTATATTCAGCCAAACCTAAATTATGAATAAAATAAGGATGTACATTTTTTCGGATAATTCGAACTTTTTCATCCTCCTCAAGAGGCTTTGAAAGACGAGCAAAAAGATTTTTCATGCAAGCAAAATAAATTCCTATAGACTCTACAGAGTCCTGATAACGATTGCGTGTTTCCTGTAATAATTCATCCTGATGATCAAAAGGTTGAAACTGATCCTTGAACTGACTTTTGAAATCCTCCCAGTTTGAAATCTCTTCTCGTACTGATCTGTAAAAACTTCCTTATAAAATATCTACGACTGAGTTGCTAGCTTACCTTCTCTTCTCGACCTGTTCTAAAAATGCTGAAATACTAGTTTGTGCCTCTCCATTAAATGTGATGCCCCATTTTCGAGGTTGAACCTGATGTTTATGCACACTTGTGACTACTGTGGGTTGGTTGGTTCTTGGGAAGTAATTATAGAAGAAGAATTTGGTGACACAGCTTTTTCTAAAACTCTGTTCCAAAACCTTTTCAACCTACCTAGAAGATTACTAATAGTACACTCAATTGGTTTATCATCTTCAGTACTGCCTATGCGAATGCGTTGTAACCTAGCTGTAAGATGTCTGAGCATAGTCTCAGCTGTTTTAAAATGTACATTTTCAACCACCAACTGATTTTCAGCAACAAAATTTTCCAAGGCCTCAATTTTTTTTGTAACCGTATCAACCTCCTCCAGAACTGAGGGTTGAAAATTTTCACAAGATACTAAAACCCCAAAAACCTCATTAAACATTAACTCTTCCAATTTTTTTCTCATTGACAGAGGCCTTTCTCCTTGTAACTTACTAACATCTCTTACTTTCAGCTCATAAATGAGGTCATCCTTTCGTAATTTAGTTAGATTCATTATAAATTAAATTGAATTAACCAAATCCGCAATAATCGAAAAAAAACTATGTTAAGGTAATTTTATCCAGACAATTCCTTGTAAATTTTTAAAAGAAATTAATTTACCTGTCAATAAAACCACAAAATCTTGGGCCCCACGTTGGGCGCCAAATTTGTGACGCAAACTTTACTCAGTATTTTTTTAATTAGACCGCCTCAGAGTTGCGCACAGAGTGCCGCTAGCTCTTTGAACAAGTGTAAAGTTCCCAGAAGGCGATTAAAATATATTTTTTAAATGGGCGCCACCAACCTTTTGCCCAGATCTTACTTAAAACAATGATTAACCGGAATATATATATATATATATAATTGAATATAGTAACATACACTTAAAAAACAATTACTAATTTTATTTTGACAGATAATATTTTTCTTTAAATGAATACTTTGATTACGTTCAGTTTACATAAACAATTTTGACTAAAATTAGTTTAAAATAAATTTAACTAAATAAAATTAACCCGACTATTGTTCTTATCACTTGGTATCTATTTTTTTTAAATGTTCATAAGAACCTGGTTTGTCAAAAAAAAACAATTATCTCACAGTTCCATATTCATACATATAAGTCTGTCCTATTCCACACAATGTTTTATAAATACCTTATCAAGGGTTTTCTCTAAAGAAAATTGTTTAAACAAATGTTACTCAACATTCCGCTCGCCACTCCATAATTATTCTTTCATCAAAAATAATCGGTAGGTAATTATCAAAAATCTGTATCATTTATAATTCACTTAATAATCTCCACTATAGTTATACATCAATGAAGGTTTCGTTGCATGTCCTCAATCTCCTCAAAATTAATATTTTATTTCCAAAAGATATTACGACAATTCTCCAAATAAAATCTTGTATCAGTCAACTCTTGGAAACCAAAGCAATGTTACTTGGATTTATTATTTTTGTATACGAAATTATTTTTTTTTACTACCTTACTGGAAAACTTAATTTTCCACCCCCGAGCGAGGGAGGAAAATTCCTCCCTCTTTTTTTAACAATTTTTCATTAGCAGTAGTTTTTGTACCTTGTCTAGCCCTATTTGATTTTTTAGGAAAAAGATTTATCCGCGCTTGTCCAATCATTCTTTGAACAAACTTTATTCATTTTCATATCGCTGTTTCGATTTTTATGAAAGGAAATTAATTGCAACTATTCTTTCCTCTTCAGCAAGATCTTGCGGCAGGTCTTCTTCGCTAGAACTCATTTTCAAAACGTAGAAAGAATTTCAAATTTATGACATTCTGACAGCTTATAAAAACTGTTATGTTTGATTACCAAAAATACCATAGCAAGAAAGCGTTGTCAACATAACATCGGCGACGCAACACCTACTTAATATTTTGTCATAATTTTATAGCCCCATACCGGGTTAGTAAAAGGAACAGGAACGCTTAAAATGTCTTAAAAACATTAAAAGGTAATAGAAAAATCTATATACATACCTCAGGAGGAAAACGCGTTTCCTCCTTGTAATATATTTAAGCCTTTCACTAATACATAACACTCCCTTGAATATTTAATGCCCTTCGCTTCGCGTCGTGCATCAAACTATTCGCGGGAGGAAAAGCACTATTTTCCTCCCATGGTATGTAAAAAGCTATAATCTGGCAACTACCTACCTATATATGATATATGATATATGCCATGTGTCGACACAAAAAAATATATAATAAAGTTAACTGTCTGTAACTGCGGAAGTTGAGCAACACTATTAATTCTGTTATTTATTAAATAAAATAAATTAGAACTAAATGCTTCTTTAAATTGTCTGATCAAAAATACCACAAACAACTTAAAAATCAAAATCAAGCCCGGTAATTTTTGAACCGTAACAATTCTTAATACACTCCTTGCACTCCTTGTCCCACCAGGGGGACACTTTATGAAATCTAATCTGACTCTTCATTGGGACAGCCCTATCGGTTGCCTGCAATAGCGAAATAATGAAGTTTTTAAAATTATCGGCCCTGATCAAAATAAACAATAACCAATTTGCCTTTTTAAAATTTCTCTTAAGAAATGTGCGAGAAGGAGTCTGCAGGCTGACCGGCACACAGTTGTAGTTAACTGAAATTGGAAAATGATCACTGCTATATGTACTAGTCATCGTTTCAGAATTGCAAAGCAAAGCAATATTAGGTGAGCAAATTGCCATGTCGATTACACTTTTCCTCTGAAGAAATAGGAGAATTGGTTGACAGTCGTTCAAAAAGACTAAATTGTTATTATTAATGTACTCAAAAGAACTCTAACCTTAACATTTGAAAAAGAACTACCCCAGCTTATATGATTGGAATTACAATCTCCAACCAAGATATATTTAATAATAGAGGTAGCGATATTATCGATAGTTTCGATATTTTAAAAACTATCGAGTTATCAATTCTATCGATAGTTACAAACTATCGTCTAGCGATAGTAGAATCAAAAAAAATTATAACAATCCTTCTTCTTCTTCTTCTTCTCTGGTTTGATTGGCCTTTCCCTTTCGGGATTTAGCCAGCTGTATTTTATTATTATTATACTGGAAAAAGCGAGTCTAGGATAACCTATAGCTTCTCCTTTTCTTCTTGGTTTTATAGTTTATTAATTATTATTATTTATGTCACTTCTAGATTATTTTTTCACTTATAGTCTTTTCATTCACTTATGTCCATCACTATCATTTTTGTCTTTTTTAGAGTTTATTCAATAAAGCTTATATCAGCAGCGAAAGTCACTTTTATTACACTTTTACACATACAAAATCACGATATTAGCAGCGGAAGTTACGAATAGTTCATAAAACATTTTTTTATTTTAGCATTACGGTTCGAGCTTAACAAAACTTATCGGTACACTTATAATTTAAAGTCATTCTTATTTCACTAATACACTAATGTCTCAAACATAAACTAAATCACGATATACGCAGCGGAAGTCATACAAAAAAATAGAGGGCAAAAAAAAATAGCAAAAAAACCCACGATGCACTACATGGCGGTTTGCACATGACTATTCAATCTTTTAATATTTCGACCATCCTTTGTGGGAACTTATTGCATCTTCACAAATCTAATGTAGATTTTGGACTTTTGGCACTGATCAGCTTAATTTTGTGCTGTGAGCCCCATATTGTCCTCCCAAGGACTCTTGTCACTTCAGCGGACAACACAGAACTCGAATATATATAATATATAACAATCCTTGTTTTTTTATTCGGAATTTGACGTCATTAAAAATTTGGGGTTTTAGTTGGCAAAATCTAGGGACCCTAGATTTACCAACGGTAAACTGTCTCAAATATGTGCTGTCAATTATTTCATTGTTGATTTTTTGAAACTCGATAGTTATTATAGATTTTGATATAAAGGTTTTAATAACTAAGGTAGATATTTATATTGAAATACTATACCATGGAGCCTACACAAGGAGCCCGAACTTAATAGGGGAAATTGACAAAACCTGACCTCTAAATTACACAAATTAAGTATTTTCACCACCAGCGGCGCTGATTGTCGATGCGTACTGACGTCTGTTCTTTTGGTAGCGTTTCGGTACAAATTAGTCAATTGTTTTAGAATAAACGAAACACCTCTTATCTTAGGAAGATTCTTGCAATTTACATAAAGTTCGGACTATATTTTTGACTCTCCTGTATTTGGTAAGTTGAAAATGTGCCTACTATAAAAATAAACCCCTTATTTTTTTAATAAAATGTTAAACTATACGGTTTTGAAATTTTAGTAAACTATCGATAGTTAATCGATAGTATCGATAGTCGCTTTTCTCACCATCGATGCTATCGATAGTCCACTTTTTACCACTATCGCTACCTCTAATATTTATTACCCAGAAACGAACAAAAATTATACCAAAACCTTTTAGTGGCTTTAAATGGCGGAGCAATATATACTGTACAATAGATACAGTCGTTAATTTTGATAGCCACCGCTTGAATCTCGTTAAAGTAAAAGTTCAAATCAACGACAAAATATCTAATATTCCGTTTTATTAGAAGGGCAGATCCTCCTTTGCCATCAGTTCTGCAGCAAGATTGAAAGTTGTATTTAGAATGCGAGAAAAACTGTTGGTTATTTGGTTTAATCCAGGATTCGGAAATTGAGATTATATCTGGATTTTAATTATGAATTAAGAGTTCTAACTTGTGGCGTTTATTAAGGAGAAACCGAGCTTTTAATCCTAGGAACTTTTTTGGAAGCCTCGTAAATTTAAGTTTGTAATTAGCCATAATTTCTTTAATAGATTTTTGTCTTAGAAACTCTGGACACTTTCTATCTTTGAAAGGATCCTTTTTCAGTGGAGAAATGAGCATCGCATTTAATATCACAGGAAATATGAGAATCTTCAGTCTAGACTAGAAAGAGCTCTTTCTTGTCCCCACATTTGTCACACGATTCAAAACCTTTGCACTGCGAAATGGTAAGTCCTAGTGCAAACAACGAAAGCATTGAATAACCGGTTCTATATATGTGGAAGTCAAATGTGTCGAATAGAAAAGGTCCATACGTTCCGGGATGTATTTACCCCTGATAGAAAATATGACCATAGAAGTGTTTACAATATTATTGATACCACAGTCTTTTGAAGGTTCTTTTCTTTTTTATTATTTTTTTATTATTATTTTAATGTGGTTCCAACAGGCACCAGGGCCAATTACAGGAGTACACTGACACACAAATAAACAGCCATACCTCTGGTGGGATTCGAACCCATGACCTCTCCCCAGACAGCACACAATATCTATTAGATATCCAAGGGATGTACTTTCTGGATATCCAAAATATCCAATGGATATACATGGATAACCATTGGATATCCAAATGTCCGCCTATATCCAGGATATAGCAGACATCCAGTGGATATCCACATATCCATATATAAATATATCTGTACCCCAGAGCCAACTATATTAGGTCCACTTTTTTGCCAACATTTTTCCGCTCTTTCCAATAG